AAACAACAACAATCACTAAATTACCTACACTCTTACATACTAACAACAACAACAACCACTAAAATTACCTACACTCTTACATACTAAAAACAACAACAACCACTAAAATTACCTACACTCTTACATACTAAAAAACAACAACCATTAAAATTACCTACACTCTTACATACTAAATAAACCAACAAACACTGATTTCACATTTATCTAATATAACAATATTTTTAGAAATGTTGCAAATATGGCAATGTACAAATAATGAAACAACTTTTTCTAGTGTTATAAAAGTAATATTAAAAGTTTGTTGTGAAATGTTCAGGTAGATATTATTGTAACCTTTAGCTTAGAGCTACAAATTAAGGTTGACAAAAATTTAATTTGATAAATAAATTATAAAGATGTGTATAGAATGTTGTGTTTAGTTATTTAAGTACACACAGTCTTGTGTTACCTTCTTGAAGTACCACAGTCCTTTTTTAAGTACACATTGTTTAGTTATCTTCTTTAAGCTGAAAGCTGATGTATTAACTTTAGAAATCAACCAAAGTATGATTTATTTACCGTGGATGTGCAAAAAGACAGCAAGTGGCCCAAAGTAACTTCACTCCTGTCTGTTGCTGGAGTTTTTCTGCCAAGTCGACAATTTTATCCAAGTTGTTATTAGTTTCTGCTAGAGTAGCACCCTCTGGAGCAATGTCTCTGAGAGCAATTTGATAAAATAAAGAAGTTAAAAGTACCTAATGTGTGAACTATTATTATTATTATGTTGAATAATTCTATATATATTTCCTTCCATTTAATATACTGGTGATTCTTATGGCAACAGTCTTCAGGTGTTTATCAAATATGCAGGAAGAGGCTTAAGACAGTATGTAAATATGATAAATGAAAACCAATATATATATATATAGGAATCCTGTTATTAGTATATAATTACAGCATTAATTAAGTTAAAATGACTATAAAGGGTAACATTTATGTAGTAGTCTTTTCTTACTGAAGATGGTAAAAAATTTTCTGTGCATTCTTAATTCACTAACATCATGATGTAGAACAGGACTTCAACCATTTACCTGTCATGAAATGTCCAATACTTGTTTCCAAGCTTAGAAAAAAACTCAAATGCTGCTTTTAGTCTTCTTTCAGCATTTTTAAGAGAGTTACTTCCATCATCCCATGGTCTTTGTACGGTTGGAAAACCGAAAGGATCAGCCCCTACATTAGAAAACAACAGAAGTATAATCCCCAGGTCTGTGTGTGACCTGAAATCCAAAAGGGTCAGTTCCTACAAAAGAAAACATCATTCATTGGGTATGTTTAGTCCAAAATCTAAGAGTAGTTATTAGGAATTTAAACAATATATTTTTCCCAGTAGAGTAACTCTGATCAGTATTTGCGGTAAGGTCGAAGACACCAATCACGGTCTTGCTTAGTTGCATCTACGATCATACAACTCTAATTATTTACGGTAAGGTCGAAGACACCAATCACGGTCTTGCTTATTTGCATCTACGATCATACAACTCTAATTATTTACAGTAAGGTCGAAGACACCAATCACGGTCTTGCTTAGTTGCATCTATGATCATACAACTCTAATTATTTACGGTAAGGTCGAAGACACCAATCACGGTCTTGCTTAGTTGCATCTACAATCATACAACTCTAATTATTTGCGGTAAGGTCAAAGACACCAATCACGGTCTTGCTTAGTTGCATCTACGATCATACAACTCTAATTAGTTACGGTAAGGTCGAAGACACCAATCACGGTCTTGCTTAGTTGCATCTACAATCATACAACTCTAATTAGTTACGGTAAGGTCGAAGACACCAATCACGGTCTTGCTTAGTTGCATCTACGATCATACAACTCTAATTAGTTACGGTAAGGTCGAAGACACCAATCACGGTCTTGCTTAGTTGCATCTACGATCATACAACTTTAATTATTAATTAGTTATTTTTAGTGTATTTAGTGCTAGATGCTAAGTGACATTTAGTTTATATCATTCGTTATAATGATAACCTGCTGTCATCTTCAGAGAAGTCCTGAAAAGGTCTGTATATCATAGCAGAAATTTGGGTTGTTTTTTTTGTTACAAAGACTTGTCTGATATCCACTCATTTTATGTTTCTTCTTAGGTTTTGTTTTTCTGTGTTAAACACAAAGGTACACCTCTTACTATCTGTGCTCTGCTCATTATGGGTATGAAACCCACTTTTTTAGCATATAAGACATCAGACTTACCTCTGAGCCATTAGGGCCTTCTCTTATTAGGAATTTAATTAACTAACTTATTTGAATTTTTTCAAGAGGAATATCCAAGTTTTGTTGTCTTCTCTGCTAGGTTTGTTGTGTGTGTTATCAGTTAGGTGAATGTAAAGGGCAACCAAAAACAAGAAGGATTAATCTCTACATAGAATATCTTGAAGATAACGCCTTTGAAACAGCTGCTCTATGTCCCAGGACTTTGCTGACATATGTTGATACATTTGTAATATAGCCACACACACATTACAGATAATGTTTAATACTTCACGAACCACCTGAACAAACAAATTTTCACAGTACAGTTCATGTTGGTAACAGAAGAAATGAAACTGATATATCACACGAGTTTACGAAAAATCTTGAAATATGCATAAATACCTCAATTATAAATCAATATACTTCCTAGTTTCAAAATGAACAATATTTCTATTACCGAAGAAGCTAAAAAAAAGAAACAATCCTGGTTACTCTCCTTACCAATTTATACCAAAAGAAGCTAAAAAAAAGAAACAATCCTGGTTACTCTCCTTACCAATTTATACCAAAAACACTTTATAAAGAAGATAAACACGAAGAATGAGTAGAAACATGATTACCTAGACTCTTACATACTATATCAAAAGTCTCTCTGAAATCATACCAAGGATATGTAAACAACATAAAGTCAGAAGAGTATTCAGATAACACATTCACAACTGTTACATACCAAACCACCAAAAGATTCAGTGAAGAGCAAAAATCAACCTCCCCTATGAATGTGTACTCCAGAACATTAGAGAAACAAAAAGACAAACAACAAAATGTTAGAATTTACAAGAACAATAGACACACAAACCTCTGTAATATTAGCCAATCTGCAATAGCCCGAGGGTAAAATTCTGCCAGTACTCACTGGTACTGAGTACCAGAACATATTTTTAAAGGCAGTACTCACTGGTACTGAGTACCAGAACATATTTTTAAAGGCAGTACTCACTGGTACTGAGTACCAGAACATATTTTTAAAGGCAGTACTCACTGGTACTGAGTACCAGAACATATTTTTAAAGGCAGTACTCACTGGTACTGAGTACCAGAACATATTTTTAAAGGCAGTACTCACTGGTACTGAGTACCAGAACATATTTTTAAAGGCAGTACTACTACCGGCACTTGTTTGAGCTGCTTTTTCGGATGTATGCATTCCATTGTTCTGTCAGAAAGCATTTATTCATCAAACTATCATTTTCATGTTTACACTTAGATTTTTATCTTTTTTATCAAAAACAAGTCCATTTCATCCAACTGAGTACCTCTGCTTTTTTTTTTAATTTCACCCTTGCAACAGCCAATCACAGAAGAAGACCATACAGCCAATCACCATACAGTAAATTAGAATAATGGTAAAATAATACAATATTAGTCATATATGAGACAAAAAATGGTAACAGTGGTTTTTTACATCCATCTAACTAACAACATACTCAGTCAACTTGGCATAAAAGTCAGCAAAACCTACATAACTCCTTTGAAGTCATTCAAATAAGTTTGTTAAAGTCTTAATGCAGGAAACTCCCATCAGCCTTTCTGTTAAGAACACCCAGGTTCGAATCCCAGCCACTACCAAGACAGAAATAGTCCTCAGATCTTAACTGATGACAGCAGCAAGTTGGCAATTGAAATATAGGATAAAACTGTTTAGTAATTACAACAGAACTTGTCCCTATCCTCAGCCTTTGCCATGAGATTCATAAAAGTATCCTATCTCTCCTAAAAAACTTGTTCTACCAACTTTCCAGGTCAGTAGTAATAATACATATTGTTGGACATTACAAAGAGGGCCTGCTGAACACAAATATATTACCAGCTTCCTGTACTGTTGTTGGTTTAATGAAAAACTACATGATTGGTTATTTGTGCTCTATTCACTATGGGGAATCAAACCCCAGACTTTAGCATGGTAAGTCTATAAAAATACACAAAGAAACTTTCTCAGGTAAGAGATCATGTTTTAAACTTCTTGAAGATACAAAAAAATGTCCCTAAAAAGTTTATTCAACCAAGTTATTATGTCAGAAGTTATGTTTAACATTGCTGGACATTGGATAGAATACCTAATGAACAGTTTATCCCACTGACTTACCAGGTTAGTGGTCATGATAGACACTGCTGGACTTTACACAAAATACAATGAACAATTCATTTTACTGACTTTCCACGTCAAATATCATGTTTGACATTGCTGGACATTAGATAGAATAACTGCTACAATTTCAGGTCAAAAGTCATGTTTGGCACTGCTAAACATTAGATAAAAATCCTGCTGTACAGTGTATCATTACGAGTTACCAGGTCAGAAGTCATGACTGACATTTGACAAAATATCTGCTGAACAGTTTATCATACCAGATAACTTAATTAACTTTGAAGTTGTACAAACCTGTTCCTCGAAATGAATGCCAGAAACACACTGAGAATCTCAACCAGTCTTCCATGGACCTTCCCATTATCATCTGTGAACAATAATAAAAAACAAATGTACAAACATGTATATATATAAAATCAAATTTTATTTAAACAGGTCTTTTGATATACAGCTTTTAACATATACTACTGTATCATTGTAACTGTCTCAAAACAAAACAATTTTCAATGGAAAATAAAAGATTTAAGTAGAGTCCCTTCCTAAGCAATTACCCATCATCCCCTGTAATGTGAGGACTATTATCCTGAACTGTAAATAGAATATCTAACACATTCTTGAATAATTGTTTTCCAGCAAAGCTACATGAGAACTATCTTTGACCAACTGTTCATAATTTTGAATTGATAGACCAGATAGAATGCAGTGAGCCAATAGCACCCACTTAACAACTCTTATCTGACCGTAAAGTATTGTTACGACAGTGGGGGTCACGTGACAAGTATTCTAGAAGATTCGCTAGTGTGTTACGACAGCGTTGCGTCAACCGGCTCTGGTAGCACGTGTTGAGAGTCTTAGAAGTTTCTAGAACAGGCAGTATTATCGTATATAAGTGCGCTAGACAGTGAGAGAGACAGACGGAGTCGAAGCAGTAGTGGAGACAGAGACGGAGGCAGAGACGTAGCGGAGACGAAGCAGGCAGAGAGAAAGACAGCGATTACGGTCGGTGGGAACTGAGGATAGCAGACACACAGATCGGAACTATAGTTGGGGGACGGACTATTAAGTCTAAGCGCGATAGAAAGTGAGTGAATAGTGTATGTAACTGTGAAAATTAAGTACATTACAAAGTTGTATTGAGGAAGAATAAACAAGTTTTATAAAGAAAGGACTTGTATCTTAGAATTAACAAACAAACATACAGAGACGTAACAGTATTATTTGGCCATCATCCTTATATGCACACATGTTCCCAAAGTGTGGAGCAAATTTGTGCAGCAACGTGAAGCAAACCGTAAATCAAAGTATGGGCATGTTAATTACTAGGCCTCGTCCCTGCTGTCACACAAGTTATTTTGAAGTTACGCTTTTAATTTTGACTTTAGATAAACGTGATTCAACATGTTTATTATGTTGAAACGTGCATCACTTGCACTTTCAAAACAACCACATAAATATATCAGATACCTTTATGGTGTAAGAAATATTTTTTTTTTCTTTTCTGTTTTATCAAATTTAAGGTACTTCAGTAATTGAGTATATGAGAGAAACGAGTATCATTTTATAATACATTTTTATTCATATGAACCTATTGTGCCGCTGAAATGCTTACATTAGTTAATATAACACAGCGCCTAGAAACAGAGGGTTGCGACACAGTGGGTCGCAGAAAATGATAGTCACGTGGTTTATGGACGCCATTTTGTATCCGCCGGCTCGATATGGTGCGACGCAATTCGCACGCACGTAACAGAAGGTGAAAGTAATCGACTCCCAACTGTGCTTGGAGGTGCACAAACCAGTCAGAAAATGAATCGAGAATGTATCGCTTTCCTTCAGATGTCAAAAGAAGGAAACTTTAGGAGGTGAAGTGAATCGTGTCAGTTGGAAACTATTACCGTCTTCCAGCCTTTTCTAGGTGAATAACGCAATGCAGGCTAGGCCTAAAAAACTGCCCAAGGAAAACCTAATCAATACATAACATTATAGTTATTCCCCACGATGTTATAAAGTAAAATAGACGGTCATTTTAAACAATTATGATTAATTCAGAAGTTCGAGCAATCAAAAATATCCCAG